AGTATTCGGATACCTTCTTTCTTCATCGAGCACTCTGTCATCAAGGAGCGTCACATAGAAACACATACGCACACGCGCATACTCATTCGCTGCCACAAGTGATGGAAAATGTTACTGTGGTAAGCAAGTGCTGATTCAAACCAGTGAGAAATTCATGCCCTTGTTTGTCCACTTATTACAGCAGTTCTCTATCGATGGTGGTGCTGTGAAATGTTCAAGGTAGGGAGAAATGGTGTGAAACGTCACAGTTCCTCCGAAGTCAACGTGAATACGACCGTTTATTGACTTTCCCGAATCACTCGGGATTTCATACACNTCTTACACGATCGACGCAGACATGATTATTCTATCGGTCTTTTCGACCCCGCATAGATGCTCACTGTTTGGGTCATTTAGTTGCCCAACCAACTGTCCGTTAAAGAACTATTTCACATCATATTCGCCGTTTTTCCCCATTATCATTTTTCGCATATTTAATCATTGGTCTGAATCAAGCAGTAGTAGCAGCAAGTACTAGCACCGTATAAAACAGAAGGTCTGTGTTAGTTTCCATTCAATTTCCTTCATGTGAGCTTTTTATTTTCCTATTTATATAAACTAAGATGCTGTGATTCATAGCAGTTTACTCTACAGTCAGTTGAGTCCGAAAAGGGATCGCATCTAAAGTGTATTCATCCAATATCTCTGGTGATTCAAATGAAATCAAAGCTTTTAAACTACTAAATGAACTGTCTTCAGACGGTGAACCGTAGTTACAAGCATTCTTCCAGTTTGGTCTAATGAAAAACGATAACAAAAACGTCATTGCTTACAATTTGCCGTCTTCAGCCTACTGGTCACAGGGTCATTCACACCCCACTCTCCGCTGAACCGCTCCTTCCGTTTGTTCTCATTGGTCTTTATGACATCTGATCTATGCTCCAGAACGACAGCTATAAGAAGAGTGTGGTTTGGTGAATAACACACATCTATCCATGGCATGTCTTATCTAGTAAATGCGACTTATCTGAATTCGTTGTGGTAATGAAATTTCCATCTAAACCCTACCAAATACACGATGGCAGCATTGATAACCCACTGTCCAACAAAGTTGGGAAAGACTACGCGGACACCAACGGTCACAGACCTCCATTATGGATATCCTCCAGACTCAAGTTGCATTAGTAACACGATATTGTGTTCATCTCACCGAAAGCCAAGGAGGACTTAGGTTGATCAACATCGTCTCGCAGCTTCTAGTGAGCACTATATTCCACCGGTTATCTGGCGCAAGGGAACAATCCATATTTGATTACTGGACTGATTGTATCGACGAAATTTTCACTCTTCTCGAAATTCTGGAACATAGACATTCCTTCCGTAGCCCCATCATTTTCTATTTTGCTAGATCTGAAAGCGCCATTCCACTCAGTCGGCTGCATTGACTGAATCGGCGTCGCTTCTTCTCGAAGGGTATGCCAGAGATGCTTATTTCAATGTTACAATCTCTGTGTACGTATAGTCGATGCCGAGTTATGGCTCACAGCTGGTTTTCTCCGGAGTTCACCACTTCAACTTTGTAATTGATTTGATTCTTGGAACAACCGTCTTCATTTGAGAATAGCAGCTTCGATATCCTGCCACTTGCCAGGCTGTCTGGTTTGCTGTGTGCAGACAACATTGTACTACTAAGAGAAAACCCAGATCAATTGCAAGCCTTTCCGGATGGTTTGTGTTTCGTTGTAGCACTTTTCAGCATGTGTTTTGCTCCTTCAAACTATGAGATGGTTGCCTGGTGGTAACGCCACCAAATTATCATCATCCTGGAGGACGACGAGTGTTCGAATCCCATCGCCACCGCCTGAACTTCCCAATTGTGTATTGTATGGCATATCTTTGATTGGCCACTTCCTCCTTCCTGAAAATTGTATTGATATATATTCAGTTAAAAGAAGTAAAAATGTAAATCAAGGTCAAATGTTTATTATGGGAAATACCTGTAAGTGTTTGTTTTTCTTGTCCCATAGGGTTTAGCACAAGTGTATCGATTTACTGTTCAAAGAAGGATGAGGAATGTCATAAATTATCCTTGTTTTCGTGCACTGCTATATGGATGTTGAGATTTAAGACTTGTGAAAGTTTCATGCAGTTTTTACTTGATATAACCAATTTTGTTCGCAGAAACAGCATCTAGTAATAGAGAATTCCAAAGTGCACACTCTGAGGGCAAATGAATGACGCCGACATTTTTGGAGCATTAATTTGAATTAGTGCCACCGGAGGTGAGTGTTGGGCGACAACGCGAACAGTGAACGACATGGGTAGTCAGGATTTTGCATTATTTGATACACCAACATCAAGCCCCCTCGAATTCGGCGATACTATGTATAGTACAGCCTCAATGATTCCAATCTTTCCACATAAGTCTTGGAATGCACTCCCTTGACAATTTTGGTGGACGTTCTTTGTGGACGTTGCAGAATCTCACGATCGCGTAGCAGCCATGGATTCGACGCTTGAATTGCATACTCTATGTGGGGTCGAATGTAAGCTGATAACAATCGCTGAAGCAGCGTAGTTTCAAATTTGCCAAATACTCGCTTTATCAAACCAACATGAATAAGATGTTACCACAGAACTGTGTTATTTCAGCTGCCTACTTCGCAGTGACTAGTCAAATAATAATAAAATTATGCTATAAGGGTGAGTTTATCTCACCTGGCGAACGCATTACAGATCAGGTCTCGGCTCGCACACAGAAGCCTCGATTTGCATTTGCCAATTGGATACAGCTATTACGCGGTTGCGACATCCGGCTGTCTGTCAGTGGTCGACTGTATGCTTCAGCAGTTCGATCAGTGGTACAGAAACTTTGCTGTTGCGGAAACATGATAAGAATAAGCAGTGGGTATTCGAATACCATTGTATGCACTACATTGTACGTATCCGACGGGGAAACCGTAATGCTGGGGTTAGGCTCAAAGTTTTAGGTAATCATGGTGGCTCACTGGAGCAACTGGTCTACCACGATTGATTACGTGGAATGGGGCATGTTTTGCTTATGCCACAAACTAGATTGTCACCTCGTGCGATTTTTTTCTATATGGGTAATGTGTGATAAAAAGTCAAAGGTGGTTGAACTATGATTTGGCATGAGGGTCTGCAAATCCTGAAACTCAGATCCTCTGTCATGTAGGTCGCGTTAGGCTTCCCGCATAGGAACATCGGGATCAGCACAAGCTAAGAATGCCTTATAATTGATGCTGAGCAAGGCTACTGCAACTTGGCACCTAAGTTTCTCACGTTTGTTATGGTGTGATCATCTCTAATAGGATACGAAATGGTTAACCATTTGCATTCCACCGGAAAAAATACGGTGTCGATACGAAGCGCGTATTACTGTTTCGCTTATTGTTTTCAGCGTCCTTTCCTCTGTGACACATCGGGATACGTTCTGCTACCGCTGTGCTTATGAAGGCTTTGATTGGTTTGTGTTAAGTTAGTGACAGACTATCAAATTGGCTTTGGGATAACACAACAGACTGTTGTTTGCGGGAAGGATTCTTATATCAAATGTCAGTTCAACGAGGTTGACTAAAAATGATTTAACTATGCTGAATCCTCGTCTTTTATTTACCGACTGGTTTTCCCTCCATCACTCAACCTTTAGTCAGTAATCGCATTCTGTGTACCACAAGTGTATGAAAGATAATCACCGTTGATGAGTTTTAGTTTTGAAAGTTCATTTAATTTCGTTCGTTCTATTGACCACTTGTAAAATATCGTTGAAGAGGAAGGTCGACGTGAAAATTCTAAACTTTTCTTTCTTTTATACTTTCCATCAGTCATCCACCCTTCGAACTGGACTATCCACTCAGCCAGCTCCTGAAAGTAGCATTGATGCACGATCGGATTGGTTTCCACCAGCCCCGCCTCCGCCACTTCAAGTTACACGACAGAGCAACACTATTGGTTCTGAAACCACTGGACCTCACTATCATGAGCACTG